GAGTGGTCATGATGGGGGAGGGTGACTGTGTCCTCAGCAGCAGAAACAACAGGTGCCTCTGCTCACCTCAGCTGACAACCTTGGGGTGAGGCTGGGAGGTGGTCCTGGGAGGGCGGAGGGCAGAGCCCACAGGGGACCCTTGGCCACGCTGCCTGCCTGTTGCTTGAAGCCCAGGCCTCTGTCATCGGGGACTGTGGACCCCAGAGTCATGAGTCATGGATACGTGGGGGCCATGGGGGCCGAGGTCTCTCAGCCCACCCTCCTTTGGGCTGTGGTGGTGCCAGACTGTCCCTTCAGGGGCCTTGAGGCGGCAGTCTGGACAAAGGGGGTCTGATGTGTCTTTTTTTTAAACAGCTTTATTGAGATGTGATCGCGTACCGAGGAGCTCACCCTTTTAAAGTGGACAAGCCGGTGTTTTCAGTGTATTTGCACATACGTGCAAACAGCACACAGTCGATGGTAGAACATTTTCATCCCCTGGGAAAGAGCCCCATGCCCTTTGGCTGTCACCCCGGCGTTGCCCCCGTCCCCAGGCCCAGGCCCAGTCCCAGGCCACCCCTTACCTACTTGTAGGTTTCCCAATTCCGGCCTTCTCAGAGAAACGCAGTCACACTTTGCTGACCTTCTGTCACCTAGCCCGTTTTTGAGATTCATCCACAATGTAGCAGGTGTCAGAACGCGACTCCTTTTCGCGGCTGAGTGACAGTGACCGCGTCGTGTGACAGGCCACGTTTGCTTACCCGTCGCCCTCGGTTGGACATTCGGCTCCGGGGAGCACCGCTGCTGGGCTCTCAGCGCGCGTGGGTGGCTCCTAGGACTGGCGCGGCGGGTCACGTGGGACTCCGTGTTGATCGTGATACTGCCAGACTGTTTTCACAGCGGCTGCACCATTTCACATGCAGCCAGCGGTGTAGGAGGGGCCACCATCTCCACACCCTCTCCACACCCTCTCCATCCCTTGTTGTCCACGATTCTCGCCATCCTAGGGGGTGCGGAGGCCGCAGAGTCCCGAGGGAGGTTTGGGGGGGTCCTGCTATGGGGTGGCTCCGGCGGACGTGGATGTGCACTACATGCCTCCTGGGGGAGCTACGCTGCTGCCCAGCCCGCCTGGGGACAGGGCCACCGCCTGGCCCCGCCGGCCCCCCGCCCTCCCCACCCCAGGGGTGGGCTCCCCCGCGCCCG